GGCCCTGGCAGAGGGAGGGCCGGGGAGGCAGGCAGGCAGGCTTCCCCAGCCCCCCTGCTCCGTCGCGTGTCCCGCTCTCCTAGCGATGCGCAGCGTTCAGTCAGTTTAGTTACCACTCTCTCTTTCTGGAGCTTTACTGTCTTGTCTTTTAACCCTGAGAGCTAAATAGCTACGTCCTAGCAAATGATAACTTCAGGTTTTCGGGATCCAGTGGTGTCTGCTTCGCCACATTTCCACGGGAGCAGATACATCCATCTGAGAAATTTTTGTAGCTGCAGATGCCGTGTGTTGGCACCTTTGCTGACCTCATTTCAGTTGCCCTCGCGGGGGAGAGGAAAGCTTTAAGTGTACGAGGTTATAGACACCCTGATGGATGACTCTATAGCCTGTGGGAAACTGCACTGGCTGAATCCATGAGATGGCTGCTCTTGGTCTCCTATCTTCTTTCTGGTGTTGTTTAAAATACCTGTGTGGCTTGTTTCCTTCTGAGCAGAGTGATCACTCTGGCCTTGGAGACAGCCAGGTCATTTGTTCCACCTAACAAAGGAGAACTAGTGTAATTACTAATTATTTTAGTGGTAGTTGAGACTGACTTAGCTACTTTAACATCCAGCATGAATGTACTGATCGTGTACTTGGAACTGCAGCTCTAATGCCTAGGTTGTACTCTGGTTCCAGAAATTAGGACCCAGGAATCCTTGCATCAGGTGCTTTCTGTCCCTGGTGATCATAGGACCATGGAGCAGTTCATCTGGAGTTTCCTGGTTTGGATTTAGTTTAAGTGTCAGTAAAATTATTGTTCATGCGTAATGCATTTGTTCTGACATTGAGGTGATACCGACAATACCTAGTGTAGTAAAGTTACACCTCTGGATTGCTTTATGTAGCAGACTGGCAGAGAATAAAAATGGTAGCTGATATCACAGTTACTGTCAGTTACTGTCACTGTTAGCTCTTCTGGCTAGTGTGTGTGTGAGAGTGAGGGAGTGCACATGCCTTCCAGAACTTCTGTGTATGTGGTTGTTAGGAGCCAAATAGTTTGTTATTAACATTAAGCTGGTGGAACTTTTTAAAGCCAGTGGTCGTATAAAGTTGAGGAGGGTGAAGACATGCGGACAAAATTTGCACCTAATCACAGAATGTTTGGGTTTGGCAGGGCCCTCTGTGGGTCACCCAGTCCAACCTCCTACCGAAGCAGGGTCACCCAGAGCAGGCTGCACAGCACCGCGTCCAGGCGGGGCTTGAATATCTCCAAAGAAGGAGACTCCATAACCTCCCTAGGCAGCCTGTTTCAGTGCCCTGTCACCAACAAAACTTTGTTGCATTGGACTGTAGGTTAAAATTTTCAGAGCTGTATACAGTAAATGAAACTTCCTGGCAGAAGCATCTGCTGTCTGAGTGCTGCCCAGAAGTGTGGCACAGCACAGGCAACACACGCTGTATTTGCAAGGGGAAGCAGTTTGTTAACATCTATTTGGTTTATTAACAATCCTACTATATACATAATCCTACTGGATATCTGAAAGTTCTTCCAGCCCTGTAGGTTTATGAAGCTCCAGGAAGGAATATTGGAGAATGCTGTGTTTTGAGCAGCCAGAGGGTTTAGGTGCAGATTGGTCTTAATAGTTTTGCACTCCATCGTAGACATCAACTCAGTGTAGCATAAGGATACCTGAACTAACTTGTATCAGTGCAGAGTTGCTGTCTGCTGTGTAGATGTGCCTGTGTTTATACAGACTAATTTATTTGTGACCTCTGTTAGAATCCCCAGTGTTTGCCATGGTCAGGGCTGTTTGAAGTAATGTTGGCTTCTGTCTTGAGAGTTGCAGTTGGGCTGTGAGGCTTTGATTCTTTTGTTTGTTTTTTTCCCCTCTGTTCTTTCATTTCCTAATTTTCTGTAAGTTGGGATTTTGACTGTGTAGGCATTTGAAATGGAGGTACATGGAGCTGGATGTGAGAAAGAGCTGTGTGGTCTACAGAAGAGAAAACCCTATATGGGAATTTGGCTCTGAGAGCAGAAACACGATGGAAATTTATAACCATTTCTACACAGGAAAAGTGAAGGGTTTGGTGTGTTTGGGCTGGGGGCTACAGTCCCTTTAGTAGAGGGCCTGCAACTTTGTAGAGTTTTTCAGTGCTTAAACGGTATCATAATGCTTCGACTAATCAAACATGCTGAAGAGATAAAAGGAATGAAGAAACTTGTGAAAGGCTGGTTATCAGGCTGGTTAGTTTATATTGTGATTTATAAAGCGTGTGCGACTTAAGACTCCTGCTTAGTTTTCGTTGCAGCCCTTGGTGAACAAGATATTTCAGGCATAGACCTCCCTCTCAGGCTGTGGAACTCTTATATTAGTTTCCCGAGAGTAGTTAGCGTGTTATGACTAGGTCTTAGGTCTGCAGAAGCTTGGTTTGACCTGACTGGATGGAGTGGACCTTCAGAGCAGTGCTCTGTTCAAGGCCAGCTACATAGTTTTAATGCTGAAAAAAAGTCTCCTGCATCCGGAAGTTGTCCTTGTGTGTTAACTTCAGTTTATTGTGGTACTGCTGAAGACACGTACTGTCTCTTGTAGGCACAAGATAAGCTTTATGGTGGTTCAGGATGGAAGATGTCTTTTTCTTCGCAAAGAAGAGAATGATTTGGGGTGGGTGGGCAGGTTCCTGCTTAGAAATTACTAAACCAAATCTAAGCACAGTCTTGTATTTGCTTAATGGTGTGAAAAGATTTCAGAATCTTGCAAAGCTTCTTCACTGAAATGAGTCATAATCTTGGTGTTCATGTGCTTATTCCTGACGCTGTGGACTCTTGCCGATGCAGGAAGCTTGCTTTCTGTTTCGCAGACGGTGGAGTCACAAGAGGAAGCCAGCGGACAGTGTAACCGGTTGTGCATGCTCTTTGATGACTGCGCATTGCAAGAGCATGATTCATACACATGTCTAATGAAGAATTAGAGGGAAGCCCTCTAGAGAACTTTTTAAAAGTCATCCTAGCGCAGTGTGTACAACTAAAGACACATTTCAGCAGTTTGAAAGCCTCAAGCTTCAGTGTCCCATGTATGTGGACGGTTTTGTGAATCTGTGCTTCAGACACCCATATGTGCTGTTTACTGCCTTTAATAGAGCCTTTATGAAACATGTAAGTTCCAGAAAATCAGAATACCACAAGAATATCATGTGTAGGAGAACGAGAAGTGCGAGGAAGAGATTGCTTGGTGAGGGGAGGGAAGCCGCCAGGCTTGTAGAGTGTAACAAAACGAGAAGCTGGAGTACTGCTCCTTTGATGAAGTGGTGGTATTTTATGAGGGAGGGTATTCATGATGCTGAATTTTAACTCTGTGAGAACATTCTTCAATTGCTAGATATGAAAAACTGGAGAAAGAGTCTCATTAAGTGTCTAAAATTGTTTGGTGTATTAAATGTATATTATGGTGTGAAAATATCACCAGATATATGTAACAAAACTGACCAATAGCTATGATGTCAAACTTGCATCTAAAGTGAAAAAAGCAAGAAGCATTCCTGTGTTGGAAAACTGAAGAGCTCGTGTGTTAAATCTCAGGTCTGCTGATGATGAATAGGTTAAAAGTGAGTCTTGGGGTTAGTGCCTTCTTCGCAGTCATCAGACTAGGTGAATGAAGCTTCTTTGCTGGGTAAATAACTCATTGACAGCTTTTATCGCTTGGTCTCTGTGGTTCAGTTTCCCACCTGTGGGGGGGGGGAAAGGATGAGACCTTTGCTGCTTCATAGTCTTGAGAGCTGATACAGGTCTTGCTGTATCACCAGCGCCTTTTAGGTTTTTCGCTAGTGCAGAGCATTCTGGTCAAGAGAGCTGTTGGTAAATCTTGGCTTTTAAGAAATTTGGAACTCAATGTGTCTCAAATGGAAGTACAAAGTGTAACTGATCTAATTGGGATCTGTGGTATAGGTGTGCTTAGATTTTCTTCTGATGCTGAGTGGGTCAGTGATTGTTTCGCATAGTCTTACTTCAGAATTTGAGTCCACAGTGATAATAAGAGTAGTAGCTGGTAGCAAGTCTGTTAGAGATTCACAGCTTTAATGTATTTTCAGCTGAACTAATACATAGGTGGCAGGAACCTTGGGCTATCATAGGAGAAAGTAACAGAAGCTCCAAACTGTCAAGCAGTCTTGTCTTGTAGTTGGTCCCATCAGTTAGGCCTGGGGACAAGACCTGTGATGTTTTTAAAGAAGCCTATGTAATCACTGTTTTGAGTCAGCTAACTTGTGTTACGCTGTTGAGATTGAAGCCAAGGAACAGTTTGGGTAACTGAAGGAATGTTGAGAAATGATAGGTGATTATTATGCTGCTAAGGAACTCCTGGCTTTTACAGATGATTTTCGATCCCACTATGAGCAAGAAGAAGAAGAAAAAGAAGAAGCCCTTTATGTTGGATGAGGAAGGAGGGGATACACAAGCTGAAGAGACTCAGCAGTCGGAAACAAAAGAAGTTGAACCAGAGCCAACAGAAGACAAAGATGTTGAAGCAGATGAAGAAGACAGCAGGAAGAAAGGTAAAGTGAATCCACACAGAGACTACAAGCCCCATTTCAAGACTTTGGCATCACAGTGCATAATGCTGGGGCCCACGTTTGTTTAGAGGGTTGTGAGTAATAGTTTGCTGCCTGCTGGGAGGGCATATTTCCCTCCTGCTTGAAATCACATTCACAGACATTGGGCAAGCTACTGGTGGCCGATGTAAATTCCACTTTTTTGACTCAAGCAGTGTCTTTTAGTGTGAGGCAAAAAGAGAATCCCCCCAAATGGTCAGCATGAAGTTTTAAATCTTCCACATGCAGTTGTTGCAGTAATTCCCCAGTTATGGTTGTTTTTCATTTGAACCATTAATCAGTAGTGTGAATAATAGAAATATGGTTTAAAGGGTGCCTGGGTTTTGGACAACTGTGAAAGTGATAACTGAAATGTTCTTTGGAATCTTTCTCGGAAGTGAGCTTGCTATTATGTATATAACCTCGCTTTTTAAATTGAGACCAATGTCATTTCAAGATGCCCTGATTCAGGAAATGCTGTTAACTTAAATCCACTTTGTTGGTAAAATTGGCTCCTGCAGTAGACCGAAGAAACTACCTTCCTCCTACAGTTTTCTTCTCACTTTTTTCAAGCATCTCCACTATAATGACAAAAGCAGCTAGTTTCTCTTGTACAGCAGAAAGAAAGATTAAGCCATTAAAATAAAATGCAGTTAGAAGATGCAGAAACTGTAAAATAGCACTGAGGTATTTGGGGGTAGAGGGGAATGACCTCTTTAAAACCTGAAGGATATCTGTAGGGGCCACAGATCATTGCTCATGTCTTACTGTAACATTTTGAAGATTTGGATGTAAATTAGAAATCTTAATGTCTAAACTGTTTCTACAGTTATACTTCTTTTGGCAATCCTTTGTTTTTTAGATGCAACGGATGACCTGGATGATTTAAACTTCTTCAACCAAAAGAAAAAGAAGAAAAAAACAAAAAAGATATTTGATATAGATGAAGCAGAAGAAGGTGTAAAGGTTTGTTTACGTAACTATGCCATCTTGTCTATGGCTGAAAACTTTCTTACTTTCGTTTTCTTGGGATTGGCAGTGCAGGAGCTGTTTCAACTCTCATTGTGTCTTAGTGTGGTTGATAATGAAACTTAGGTTTCACTGTCTCTCTCACATATAGTGGGTTCTGCTGAACATGTTGCTTCTGCAGGGCTTTTTACCAAGAAGTGAAAAAATCTTGACTGATCTCCACAGTGAGAAAGTAATTCTGCAATCTGTTGTAAGGGTTCACTAGCATCAAGGTCTTGTGGGGTGAGAGAAGTAAATGCACAGAAGCCATGCACAGAGTAGGCCAGCCCTTCAAATAAAGGGTATGTATCTGCTAAGAGATCTGTTTTTACTCTGGTTTTCTCTTTAGAAATGATTGGCTACTGTTCTGCATTCCAGAAGGTGTACGAGATATTTTTACTCGTCTCAAGTTTTATTCCAAGTCATGTTTTTGTATCACATGTCACTGTAACTGGCAAGGCCAGAGAGCAAGATGACACAGAAATGTTACATTACGTGTAAGCCTCTTCTTTAGAGTCTACCTTGTGGGGCAGAAAATGACCCTCTGGTCTGCTTTGGACAGGCAAAATGCTTGCTCTGTGTTCTTTACGTGTGCAGAATTCTGATAACAAATTTTTGGACTGGCTGCAGGTAGCACAGCTTTGCCTTACCTTATTGTCTGGCATGTAGGGTGTTTTGTTCCCTTATGCCCTAAAATGGCTGATGCCTTTAGGTAAGCGTAGCGTGCCCTTGTTCTGATAAAACCTAGCCCTACTTCATAGTAGTAGTGCAGTGCTCTCTTCAACATACTCTAGTTGTGTTCTTATCTTTCAGGATTGTGGTGGATATTACTAATATTCATCTAGTAAACTGTGCTACTAGAATTATTTCTAATGCTGTGCAGTGGAGATTTGTGTAACTATAGTCTTATTATTTCTTTTTAGGACTTGAAAATTGAAGGAGATGTGCCAGAGGCAGTAGAACCTGAAGATGACCTTGATATCATGCTGGGCAATAAAAAGAAGAAAAAGAAGAACGTGAAGTTTCCAGACGAAGATGAGATAATGGAGAAGGATGAAGGTAAAAGTATAACCTAGCTCAGTAAGGTGCCGAAAGTGAAATGTAGCCCATGCTGTAGGTGAAGAAGTTCTGTTCAAGTGCCTTTTTAGTTTCAAAACTCATCTCATTTTGTTACCTTTACCACTACATTATTTATCAGAAAAATGTTTTATAAAAGCACTGCATAAATTTGCCATACGTGCTGGTGTCCCTTGTAGGCAGACAAGCTTGTGTCCACATCTTAGTGGAATCTGATGTATCTTTTAGAAATGCTGTAAGCATCAGGTTAAAGACTGTTTCTTTTCTTCTTAATGAATTCCAAACAACTTTCTTTACAGCTTTTGAGGATGAAGATAGCAAAAAAGATGATGGAATTTCTTTTAGCCTTCAGTCAGGACCTGCGTGGGCAGGCTCAGAAAGGGACTACACATATGATGAGGTAATGTTCAAAAGACTTTTTTAACATATTTTCCTATTGCATCAGTAGAGCAGGGCCTTATGCTCATAATGTGCTGTTTCTAACTTAAAGGAATTGTAGTCAGAAGCTCATGAACAGAAAAATAACAAAGCACATCTATCCCAGTAAATTTTCATATAGGGTACTATTAGTGATAGTTAAAACACCACTGCAAATAGTCTGAGGTACTTGTAATTTATGAAGTAAACCCTTGGTGAAACAGCTTTTATATTTTGCATTTATCAGAACATTTTTTAAGTGTGTGTTCAAAAGCATAGGGGAAAATGCTAATGGGCAAAGACTGTCTAATACTCATTCTGAATGCTGTTTCTAGTTTTATGGGGGGTTTTTTAAGAAGTGATGTACTTCATTTGAGAAATGCAAGATATTCATGTTGATGTGAATCCCTTTTTTTTGCAGTTGCTCAATAGAGTATTTAACATCATGCGTGAAAAAAACCCAGATATGGTAGCTGGGGAAAAACGAAAATTTGTCATGAAGCCTCCGCAGGTTGTAAGAGTAGGGACCAAGAAAACATCTTTTGTCAACTTTACAGATATCTGCAAATTGTAAGTTTCCTCTTTAGATTTCCCAGGAATAGCAGGTGAATGCACTTCTCTGCGCTGTTGGCTGTTGCATTGAATGCCTGTTTTCTGGCAAAAGACTATGGAAAACCAGGAGTGAACTGAAAGCTATTTCAGTCATGCTTCTCTTTTCCTCTATGTTTCTCTGTGAGAAGATATTTATGAAGATGATTTATTGAGATAATTTCTTATTTTATACTTAAATTATGAGAACGACAGGTTTGCTACATGGTCCTCGTGGACAGAAACCTGTCACTTTTGTGAGTTCACTGGCTTGTATCAAGTCTGTAGTTGGGTCACCGCTGATACTTACTTGCAAGTTGTGGGTGGGGGAGTGGGGAAAGTTCTTTCAAATTGGAGCTGACTACAAATACTATCCTCTTGGTAAATGGCATGAAGTTCAGTAACATTTTTCCACTGTTTCCTGCAGTGCTGTCTATGTCAATAATTTCTTGTGAAGGCAGTTCTGTTCTTTGTGGGCACTTCTGGGAATGCGTATCTGGTTTGTTTCATAAGTGTGCCAGAAAACAGTCCTGATGAAATCATGCTGAGGATCTGGCTAGTATAGTAAAGTGAATTTTTAATGGTAGCTAGTAACACTTTTTTCCAGGGAATGGCAGGGGTATGGGAGAATAAGAATGCAAAAATCACAAATAGGAAACTTATTTTCAATAATTACTGTAACTGTGAGTTTGGTTTGGGGAGGATGGTGGGGGTTTTTTTGTGGACTGTTCACCTTTCTTGTGTCCTCAGTCATTGTCTGCCTATGCTCTTTGGTGCAGACCCTCTGGCACTGCCCCATTTTAAATTGGGTAATTTAAGATCGTTTTAGCCTGGCAGTCCTGTGTAAATATCAAATTTCTCTGAAGGGGGAAGTTTAAACGTACCCTTGCTTTATTTTTAGATTACATCGTCAGCCAAAACATCTCCTGGCATTTTTGTTGGCAGAGTTGGGTACAAGGTAAGGCTGCTGGGCTATGTATATGCTTATGCATGTAAGAAGCAATGGCAACATGGTTGACGTCTAATCAAAAATAAAACTCTTGGGTTTGGCTTCTTTGATCATGGGGAGGTGTACACAGCACCGGGCCTGCTGGCAACAAGTGGAACTCAGCTTTCACAAAGGGGAAAAAGAATTCTTGGCCACGAGCTGGCGGGGCTCATTGAGAGGGCTTTAAACTAGGTTCGAAGGGGGAAGGGGATATTGCCCAGCTCACTAGGGATGAGCCTAGGCTTGGAGTGCCAAGGCCAGGGGTGAGATTGACAGCCCAGCTCAAGTGTGTTTACACCAATGCACGTAGCATGGGCAATAAACAGGAGGAGCTGGAAGCCCACTGGATATTTACAACAAAGCCATCCTGCCTTCTGAAAATCTGGCTTTTTATCCCCGTGTGGCTCTAGAATTTAACCTCTTTTGAACATTTACTTCATAACAGGGGTCTGTTTTCCTTCTCCTCATTTAACCAGGGTATTTCTACCTAAGATCAAAATAAAAAAAATTATACATTTTGTTAAGTGCTTACCAGACCAGCAAGTGTCTCATATCCCAGAAGTAATATTGACCTTTTCCAGGGCTGCATTTTCTATTTGCACAGCATGCTTCTCATGAATTTTGCTTTGTGGTTGAGCATTGAAATTCTTCCCTGTAGAATGACTTTCAAAACAGGTAATGGAAATCTTTCCTGCAGATAAGGGACCTACAGTACACTTAGAAGAGGAACATTTTTATTTTACCCTTGTACAGGGTAATATCCCGGCACTTTTTGCTTGTAGCATAGATAGTGCAGTGATAGGAGCTGTTTCAGATATCCAGTGCCTCAACTTCTGTGATCCCCTGTGGGATTTCATAGCATTTATGTCTAGCTGGTTAAGAGCTACTGGCAGCCCAGCACTTATTGCAGAAAAGCATTCAGAAGTACAAAAAAAATTATGCAGTGGGGAAAATCTCTTTGTAGCTTAAAGCTACTATTTTGATTTTGCTCTCATTTACACCAGGAGAGATTTTTTTAAAGTGTCAGGAGAGTCAATGGAATGATGCCACTATAAAGCCACAGTCTTTCCTTTGTGTTTCCAGATAGAAACCATTCCTCATGTGTTCCTGTGGCGGATGGTACTGGCCCAGTGATGAATACCAGGGCACAAATGGGGAAGTAGAAGCGCACATATTTCATCATCTGGATGACATGAAACCCACCAAATTTTTTCAATCAATTAAGCTAAAGATTTAATTATATGCCTGTCTTTGGAGACGTGAATGTGAGACAAATCTATAAAGTTTTTGCCAATTGGAGTACTAAATTCAGTTTGTGACAATTATGTATTGAAGGATAGTAAAAAGTATTTACTTTGAGAGGAAATAAACATCTGTTCAAACTAAATGTCACTTCAAATAATATTTTTCTTTACTTTTGGTTTAATGTAATGGTTCTAATTCCACGGACACCTTCCTCCTGTGTATTCCAATTAGTTGCTTCAAAAGCAATCTCTAAGGTGGTGCTGTGTTATGTCTGCCTTGCTAAGTGCCACAGGGGCATACAGAGAAGTATTTAAGGAGGAAAGGAATACAGCATGTATGGCTACCCACAATTCACATTAAAACTCAGCCATACTCAGTATAAAATCTTTGAATGCCACTCCTAATGGTGCAACTCTTACATCAGCCTGAAGAACAAGGAATCGTGCAGTCTGCATTCTCAATACGGAACATGTTTGCCCCAAAATCTTGATCTTTTACCTGCTGCTTTCTTTGGTTGCATTTGTTGTTCATTCTCCCCACAGTCCTGGAGTTCCAGCTTTGGATTCTGTGAGAGTAAAATGTTGCATGATGAGAGAAAACAATCTTTTTAACAACAAAATGTGAAATCATCATTAGGACCTCTGCAGGTCTGATTTTCATCTCTGCTGACTGCAACTGGGCGACTTCTGCTGATGCAAATGAAACCAGAATCCAGCAGGGTATCTCCATAGGAGATCTTGAGAGCTCATTGCTTTGGGATATGATTTATTTTCCTCTTTTATGGACTAAATTAGCAAGCCCTTTTCCATGCAAATAATTTGACTGCCCGTACAGAATGCACAGGAATTGTCTGTGCCCCCTCATGAGCCATTGACTTTCGTCTGACTGCCTAGAATATGGTATTTCCATTTGGGTAGCGTTGAGCTGAACACACAGGCTTAATACTTGTCATAGCATCCCCAGCAGAACTTGACACCTATCCCCAATCTATTCTTCTGCCTTTTGGCATTTGCAATCAATATTGGTCTTCTTTGTCAGCCTGCCACCATGAAGTTCATTCATTACAAATCCACCCTGTAAAAAAACATTATGCAACAAGATTTGCTGTAAGTCTTGCTAACAGCAATCCGGTAAAACAGCAAACTCAGTTTGCTGTAATGTAGATGGGAGGGACGTTTCCCCTTCTAATTTAACAAACTCGAAAAAGTGAGCAGACCGTTACCCTTCAGTCATCTTTTCTTCCTAGTTCTTATGTAGCAGCATAGAGGTGCCCAAACTTCTGTCCTGGTTATGCCTCACACCCTCTCATAGGGGCATGCAAGGAGCATACAGCACTGCAAATTTTTGACTTTAGGGCTACGAGGATGGTGAGGGGACTGGAGCATCTCCCCTACGAGGAGAGGTTGAGGGAACTGGGCTTGTTCAGCCTGAGGAAGAGAAGGCTGCGAGGGGACCTTATAAATGCCTACAAATATCTGCAGGGTGGGTGTCAGGAGGATGGGGCCAAGCTCTTTTCAGTGGTGCCCAGTGACAGGACAAGGGGCAATGGGCACAAACTGAGGCACAGGAAGTTCCGTCTGAACATGAGGAAGAACTTCTTCCCTCTGAGGGTGACAGAGCACTGGTACAGGCTGCCCAGGGAGGTTGTGGAGTCTCCTTCTCTGGAGATATTCAAGACCCGCCTGGACAAGGTCCTGTGCAGCCTGCTGTAGGTGACCCTGCTTCGGCAGGGCGGTTGGACTAGATGACCCACAGAGGTCCCTTCCAACCCCTACTATTCTGTGATTCTGTGATTGTGTGATTCTGTGGGTTTAGGTCTGTATATATATGCTTGAACATCAGGCTGTTCTTCCCTGCACGTAGATGCTGTGCTGGGTGATTGAAGAGATACCATCTTGTGGAAGAGGTACAGAGGCAAACTATAAGTCCCAGGGAACAGGGTTTGAATTTCTTGTTTGGGACCTTTCTGAAAGATGCTCTGACAGCAGAGCTGTTTGTCACCGTTGGTGAGGATGGCTCTGTGGCTCGTATCAACCTAAAGCAGATGGGCTAGGGAAGAGAGACTGCCTGACTGCCTAGTGGTGAGTCTTGTGGGCATGTAGCTGGTTACTCAGTCTAATGCTGCAATTAAATCCACCTGCCTTAGCGTAAAAACCATGTTGACTTCATATGCTTCCTACCGAAGATCTCGTGCTGTGGTGGTATACTTTCTGGTTGTCTATTAATTGCTCTGTTGTAGACTACAATGTTGTTATATGTAGAAATAGAGAATCAAGGAGTCTTAATTGCAACATGTGTATCACAAATGCCCGTTTGATTGGGCTTTTGAGTCTCTTCAGCTCCAGATGACTTAAACAAAAACTTAGAAACCATAATCCGAAAAAACATTCAACTTCCTACATCAGAATGGCTAGAAGAGGCTCCTATTAGTCATATTACACCTTACTAGGGAGCTGTCTTGGTCACTTCCGTGAGACAAGCAGGAGTTCATTCTCAGTTCTGGGAAGTTCTTCTGACTGGGTGGCTGAACTACGAGGCTGATCTCTGCTGCTGGAGTTTGCATTTACTGCAGTGACTTCCTGGAGGTTTTTAAGCACCTTCAGAATTTTGCAGGGTTTTGGTTTTTTTTTTTTTCACAAAGTAATTCTGGTTTACTCTTTATCTTGAGGAATGCATCGTTACCTTGCTTCATGTTCCTGACATGTTGTAATGCTTGATGTCTTCTGCAAATCAAATACTTAATTTTTTTTCTTTTAAATTAGTGGCTCTATAGATGGTAACAACCAACTTGTAATTAAAGGAAGATTCCAGCAAAAACAGATAGAAAACGTCTTGAGAAGATATATCAGTAAGTAGAACTCGCTCTTTCCACTACAGATTTCTCTCAGACTCCTTTTGATAGCCAGTGGCCCATGTGTGGCTCGTATGTGCGTGCATGCTGTGGAGATTCTGTGTTAAGAAGCTACAACTTTGCTGCAGCTTGATAATGGAATAGTGCAAGTACAGGTGGTTCTGCCATGGTTATAATAAGCACATAGGTTGTACTCTGTCCTGGCACTGAAACATACCAAGGAAAACAGGAAGAGCATTTGAGAATTGCTTGTTTTCATCTGATTTTCACTTCTTGGCTTTGAAGAGGACTGTGGAAAACAACAGTAATTGGTAACTATGAAGTCAGTTGTACATGTTAATTAACAAATACAGTGTGTGTGTCGCTGAATGCTGGTCAAGAGACTCGTAGAGTGTGTGTAACAAAAAATACTGCTTTAGTGCTGTGTCTGTACAAGAGTTCCTGACATCTGGGAATGCTGTTTCAGCAGAGGAAGTTACGGAATGCCAGTGGGAAGTCTTTAACTGGTTGGTGTTATTTTTAAAACACGTGTGTCAGTGCATAATGTACCATATGAAACTTAGTCTTTATTAACCTGGGAGCTAGGGGGAATTTTTAGGTTGCTTCAGCCTCTGTGGTTTTCATAGTAAGCCACTGCTAAGTTAGTAGGTGGATTTGAACAGCCTTTTAAGACATCTGTTAAAGTAAAGGCTGAAGTGGTGACTTGTCTGCTGATAATGCATGATCTTTTAACTGCAACTTAATTCCTTTTCTGCAGAGGAGTATGTCACCTGTCATACGTGTCGGTCACCAGACACAATCCTACAGAAGGACACCAGATTATATTTCTTGCAGTGTGAGACCTGCCACTCTCGCTGCTCCGTCGCCAGCATCAAAACTGGTTTCCAGGCTGTCACAGGCAAGAGAGCGCAGCTCCGTGCCAAAGCTAACTAGTTTGCTAATCAACACTGGATTTTGCAAAGTGTTCTGGGGAGATATGACTGGACAGGTTTACAATCGGAATGGATTTGCCATTGTATTAAAACAAGATTGTAAAATCTACAAGAAATTTGGCTTTTGATTGATTGGTCTGTGAAATCCTTGCAAGATGCAGATCCTCAAGCTGTTCACATACATTTGCTCATTGAATATATTTTACCAACTTTAAGGAACGTGGTGGGATAGGAGGTGCTTTTTAATCCATTCAGACTTCTGTAAAACACAATATAAATTAAAAGATACTGTAACAGTGAATGTCTTTGATTTGGATTTTTCCTTCAGCTTCCTCCTCAAACAGCTCATGGGAATGGTTGACGTGTTGTTCTGTGGATCATGTCACTGAACTATGTCCAAAACCCAGAATAAAGTTTAAGATAAAGGTTATTTTGCTTTTACATAACAAGCTTATTTTTAGTTAGGCTGTCATTAAACAGAAAAACCAGTCACAAAAAGTCACAGCGATGATATACCAACATGAGAACCACTCATGGTTTGGTAGCCACGTTTATGCAGGAAAGCATTTTGCACAGAAAGTGACATCAGGACATGTTGATGATACTGCATAATTAGGCAGAATGTAGCTCTGAGATAGTTCAGACACAATATTGATGCTGAATCTTAACATAGAACTGATAAACTGTACTGTAAGCTTTCATAGTGTCATAGTACTAAATTTTGCAATTTCTAATACAGAAATGTTTGTTTCTTAAGTCCTGCACTCTTCACCACTTTAAAAAGAATCTAACTAAATGTGGGAGGGAGGAAGGATACAGGTAACATCACTATATGATGGCTGCACCACACTGTCTTATATAAATCTTGAATTTACAGAAGATACTGCCAAGTAGTTTGAGTTCCAAATTAACACATTGTGCTTCTTGATCATAATGTGCACTTCTCTCCACTAGCACTCAGTGATCTCTAGGGGACGTCCGTAGTGCTGTCCTAACTAGTTTTTCTAGTGCTGCAGATGTTTTGTTAGAGCTGCGAAGTATAAAGTGCAAAGGGGGAGCAAAGTCGCTCTCGAGTACCGTAAGGGGGGACAGTCTTCATTTAATCGCCAAAGCGGCGCAGGGTCAGGCTAACATGCGGTAGCTCAGGACCCCGGGCACCCGTTCCTGCAGGGAAGCAGAGTAGCCTCCTCCCCAGAGAAAACGGTGGTCGTTCTGAATGCAGTTCATCAGTTATCATAAACTGAAGGGTTTCTACCAAATTTTAATCTTTGTATGTATGTTAATACAGAACACAGTCTTGCTGGGAAGTTAGTTACTTGCTATTTGAAAACTTGACAGCACTGTAAGGCGAAAATCAAGGTTTTATGGTTGGTTTCTTAAAAGCATTTTGAATTTCAAGTGAGCTATTACAAATGTTGGATGTATCTTTAAGTGAATAAAGCCAGGATCAGTGCCTCTTGTAACTTTATTGTTGTATTCTTGTTTTTTCTCTAGCAAATAGGCATTCTCCTGTTGGAAGTAAAACTTTTCGGAGAAGTGCTAGTTGCCTTTTTGTTTCAGTGACTTGCAGTTGGGAGACACTGAAATAACTGAAGAATGATGATACTTTCTGTTTTTAAATGCTTGTTTTTTCCTGGGTCAAATACCTTTAACATACTTAAAAAAATATAGCATGGCCTTGAGCTGGTGCTGTATTTTAGTGCATTAAATACAAAGTTTAAGTTCAGTATATTTGCTTAAAGATCAAGTTGTTAAAGGGTTAAATAATTATTAAAACTCATAATCTATGAGCTCTCCTGGTTCACATGAGGGCTTTATAGGTGTATTTTGAGTCTGCATGAAATCCTGAAGGCATTGGCTTTGATGACTAATATTTGAGAGAAACGTCTGGAGCTGTAGACTCCGATTTACCTGTGGAATAACCTCACTGATGCCTCAAAAGTCTTTGATGTCTAGGAGCAGATATGACTTTTGTTTTGTTTTTTTTTAAACAAACACCTTCCAGTGTATGTTCCTAAAGGAGTATATTCTACCACAAGTGTTGTATGAACACAAATGCCGCTTGCTGCTTGTAAGGCTGATGTAGGTTGGAAGCGCAGTCATGCCTTCAGAGGCAAAAAAGTAGAGTTTTGTACTTAAGCTGGACGTAAGTGGGCAGCTTAAGGTTGGAGTTCTTAATAAGGTGGTGGCTTTGTTTGCCTTGGGTCTGCATGCAGACGTGCATTTGGAGGTAGAGAATGGTGTTTCGCCACGCTTTTTGCTCTGAGAGCTGAAGATTAACTGTATGGTGCTGATGGAGGTGTGGGAGAGGTTTTTTTAGGTGCTGAAAGGCTACAGAGCAGAACGGAATCGCTGTTGGAATGGGTTGGGGGGAGCCTGGGAGCTAACACGGAGCACAGTGATGCAGCTGGATTGCTCCGTGCCACAGCTCCTGTCGTGCCCGGAGTTCTCACACACCTTAGCGAAGTGATCTGAGCTGTTGCAGGTCTGTTCCTTTCCAGCAGTAAAGATGCAACACGTCTTTCAGCCCTGAACATGCAAAATCTTCTGAGGCTTACCACTGGAGGTCTTAGGAGATCTATACAGAAGTCATCATGTTGCTGTTAGCCTGAAATTTACTGATGTCCTTGTAAGAAGAATCTCTCTATAACCCACTTTTGTCAGGTAAATGCTTATATCTCCATTGCGTAGTCAGGGGGTTGGAACTCTCAAAGGGTTGGGTGACCTTGCTCAGGTCACCAAAGTAACCAGCATAATGAAAACTGATTGTTTTGAACTATAGTTCCCTGGTTCAGTACTTCAGCAGTGGATCAGCTGCCTCCAAAGTGGTGTGGTTCTGTTCTGCGAAAATAACCGTTTACTGTTGTGAAAATAAGCGAGATTAAACTCCTTCAGTGGAAGCTTCTGGCCAGAGCAAGGATTTAATCAAAGCAGTAGTAGTTTTATAACCAGAAGTGGTATAAAGGAGGAGAAGCATTTATAAAAAGTTTCCACTGAGAGTGGGGGATTTCTGGTCACCACTGTGCGTGGGTCATCGTGCATTGTGTCCTTCAGACATGTACACCCCACCCAACAATCCCTGGCTTGGGTCAGTTGTGGGCCTGCTTGGCAGGGAAACTTGGGCACCGAAGGTTGTAAGCAAGGAGATGAAAATGCAGACTTTTCAAGCTCCTGCTGCTGAGAACAGGACAAGGTTTGTCACGAATTGCATGGGAAGTTCGGCTGTAGTCAGGCAAAAGTGTGTCTGATGGTATCTAGTGGAGGAGGTACAGAAATAGAAACGGCAGGAACGCTCTGAAAGTCGAGAGAATATGAAGCTGAGTGATGCTGACAGCTAAGATTCATTAGAACTTCTCTGTTAATGTTTTAAACAACATTTCTCCAACCATCTCTTCTGCCCCTCTGCTTAGTTTTTTGCAAGAGGTTTATTCCAGATTACCAGACTAATAGAAGAGTATCCAAGCAAGTGGGAGGCCAAGCTTTGAGAAAGAATGGAAGGCAGACATTTAACAGAACACAGATGCTGCACAACAGTTACCAGTTCAGCTTCTGCCTGAATGGACAACAAACTGTGAAGCCACACCAGCTTCCAGATTAATTGCTTGCTTTTCTGTTTTTAACTTGGTTTTGCCGTAGTAAAGGTTAGTCCTGTGTTGCCTGAGTAGCAGAACGTCATTTTCTGTAGCTTTCCGTCTGGCAAGGGGTTGCCTTCGCAGTTCGTGGGTTTGCACCCTGGCTGTTCCAGTGCAGGCTCTTCCCCAGCGACCTGTTCCTGGCCCCTGCCAGGGGGAGGGCATCGGCCTGGACGGGCTGCGCTGTAACCCTGGCTGGTAAGTCTGGGTTCACTTACCTGCTTCTGAGCTGTCCTGCTAACGGTTGGGTTTTTCCAGCCACTGAGCTCGCTCTTCCCTAGAAACGTGCAGGACTCGGATGGTGGGAAGATGGGCAGCACTGTGACCCTGGAGGAGAACGGCCAGGAACAGCCAGGTTAGAGACAGCAGTCAGGTATCAGGACGAGCCTGTCCTGC